AGTTTTGTTAGCTTTACACGCGCATCCTTGATAGCGAAAACAACACTCTTTCTCGAACGCCGACCGTGATGTTGTTTATTATATCAATTCTTCCAAAATTGATTTCGAACAAGCAGAAGGTTGAAGAGAGACGTAGAGAATTCGTGGGTCGATTGTAGACCTAATTTCGTCCGTTCAGAAGGGTGACCTTGTCAAAGAAGACCCCAATAAACCTTTCTGCTGAAGATATGACTACTGCTAATTCGCTTAGGTATGACATAAAACGAGCTGGTTACATCATCATTACTCATCGTGATGAAGACGAAGACGTGCTGAACCCGCTGGTCATGCAAGCGGCCATGCAGCTGTGGAGCGTAGTTCAGGTAGGGGTAATTTTTCCATTTCACGGAGAGCTATTCCCTGAGTATATCAGTTTCAGTCGCTCACAGTCGAGGACCATGACGATCGTCGTATCAACTACCCAGGAATTTGTGTAAAGTTCCCTATTCCGCCTGAGTTTGTTCGCACGTTGCACAAATTCTTCAGTCCGAACATGACCACGTGAGTGATTATCTTGCCAGTTATCCGTCGTTACTGATAAACACGGTAAGATGTTATCGCTGAAGAGCGGTTGGTACAGGGCTTAAGTCAGAAATAGGGCTTCTCACCGTTAGTTAGAAGTTTCAGCCTCAGGTCGCGATGGACTTTAGCAATGCCAGAACTCATTGTACTACTTTAAAGTTCAAAGTTACTAACTTTTAAAGTTACTTTAAAGCGATGAAGCTTTAGTAGCCAGACTCATTGCACGCATCTGCAATGCTTCTTTACGGGTGTAACGCAGTACCTCAGCCGTGGCTCTAACAGGAACTCACGATTGTAGGTCAGGTAGGTCGGGATTCGAATTCCGGTCAAAGCAATGCAGCTTTCGTCAGCGATTCAGGTCTTTCAGTTACTCTTTACGATCGCGTCGCGCAGCATGCGTGGGACAATGAGGGGGGGGGGTAGTAATGGAAGAAACGAATCGAGAAATACTTTGAGAAACTTCGAAGCGTTACGTGCTCGAGGACTGATCTCGTTTTCACGTTTCTATTCTGATAACATTTCTCCACGGTTTACGCTGTCTCAGCCTGGCGCATCGTGAGCATCAGTCGAATGTCCGTACTTGCTTTCTTTTGCTGTCGCCGTTAGTGTCGTCCGAGGAGTGTTGACTCGACAACTGTTAATCCATGCCGTAATCCTGTTGTTGCGAGTGGACGTCGCTGCCCAAACACTGGCTGACCTCACCGATGAAAAGGTGGGCGGAAGTCCCAGTTCTAGTAGAAGGTGACGTACTGTTACACAATACAGAAAGGGCCACCAACTCTGAGAGAAGAACGACTTTGCGTCTCTATGAATGCCGTTTCTCAACAGAATCTATTTGGCCTGCATTTTTGCTTTTCCTACTGTTTTCCGGCATTACCTGCTACACAGGAATCCAATATTATTTAAACTTGTAGGGCAAGGCGTTGTTGTATGGATGGGTTGTGAAAGATGTAGAGGATTATACAAGCAGAGTTTGATTGGCGCCTTCGACGATAGCCGCACTATCATTTTTGTGAAAAGGATGAGCATACAAGCATTCGGCACTGATCTGTCCTCGTTATGTGGGAGAGACATTCTACTCCAGGGCAAAATTGCTACCACTTATCCTGCCCCAACAGGAGGTGAGGCTTGATTAGCTTACCACGAACAGTCCAGGATCTGACCACGTGACCGCGCGCCGGCCGCGCAGTGGAAAGCGCCATCCTTGCAGTTACGGGGAAACGAACCAGTGCAAAGACTCCTGTAATACGTTTTCCAATAAGTTCTTTATCCCACTGCTCTGTTTCCTCTCAATACCGCACCACTTAGCTCCCCTACCCCAAAGTTTAACAGAATCGAACTATTGCGACCGCTGTTTTTCAAATGTACGTAGCGGCTAGTGTTAGCTTCCATGGTCATTCACTTTATACACTTCTTTTGCAACTTTTGACCTCATACGGCAATTTCTGAGAGATTTGTAATTCCCAGAAGATTTCGAGCGATTTCGGCTTTTCGTGTGTCGATTTGTGATGTATTTGCACGCACGTCGTTGACGCTTCGCTTATTCGAAGACAAACGAAATGCGCCCGGTCGGGTCCAAGATGTCTCTCGACAGTTCGACGAACACCCTCGAAAGCTCGCACCTTCCCGCCGAGTGGGACTTCACAACACTTTTAAACTGGCTAACCGCCGTGTTGGATAACTAAGGTTCTTTGCAACAGAGGCGCCCGGATCAAACTATACAGAAGGAGCAGAGCTCTTAAGTTTCATTGAATTGCTATCGAATTACGGGCAATTTATACACGTTCTTTGGTGGGAGTAGTCCATGATCCGTTGATGCGAAAAAGTAGGCGCAGTCCGAATTTCCCTGCTATGACCAGCTTCTGTGTGTTGCGTCACGCACAAAACACCATGCGTTGAGTCACAGAAGCTCTCAGAAATACCAGGGAACTTTGTAAAGATCAGCGAGGTCTGCACAATAGCTTAAGGTTGATACGAAACACTGTGCTCCAACTAGGTTACCATATAAGTGAATCTGTGAAAGACCTTAGGACACGCCATGGCAGATGAAATCACTTTTGAGATGAAGAGCCCAAAACAGCGAGTGGCAGAGTGAAAGGGCGTTTCTCAATCAACTTCTAGGGCATTGATTGGTGTGAGGACATAGGTTCTGTTTAAGAAACGGAACAAATGCTATTGTGCGAGTTACCCAAATCAAAGAAATAAGCACATCATCTTTCAACGGATCAACAGCTGGCAGAACCTCTCGCATCTGACTAATAAAAGCCAGAGATTTGAGCGGTTGTTCAAGCGAGATTCAGTATCTAGACGGTCAGCTCATTCGGAAGCCTTGTTTGCGGTCTTTTATTTGAACGTGTTACCGCCGAAGAAATTCGATCTGTTTGAGTTCGAAGTTCGAGGCCATCCGTTCTTTCTAAGGTGCCTTTTTAGAAGGTGGCTACTGGAGCGTTTTTTGTGCTGCCAACTAACCACAAAATTCACAAGCTAACAACTGAATAGATGTATGCGTAGATTTTGATGAGTTCGGGTATGCATCCCAACTCATATCAAGTTGTCTGTAAGTAATCGAAATTTTTAACACTTTTTTTTCTACCAGGAAATATTCATTCTAAACAAACAACTCTCATTAATCAGCATTCAAATCTGTTCTACTACATTGGCCAGAGAAAACATGTATGTCTGAGGGGTAGGGGGGTGGGGGTGGCCCTCATGGTACAATATCTAAACAAAGTAGAGCTGCGGAAGGGCGGTTATATCTAAAGACTAGCACAGGCTTGAAGTGTGCGATTATACACATAGGGACACCAACCCACGATTTCGTGCAAAATCGAACACCTGAAAAGCTTTTCTCCGAGTGCTTGGATGGCGATCGCAAGAAGATGTACCGAAAGTGAAGAGTCAGCAAGGTAGCAGCCATTTTTGCAAGAGAATAATGCGACAACGATAACAAGTGTAACGTACTGGTGTTAGAGCACTGCCTCATTGAAAGATTTGATAGAATATGAGTGCCTTCCCGCAACTCCAACCTGATTAGATATGAGCCCCCTCAAACCACATTTTCACCTAAACAATATATGCCAATGATCAGGCGAGCCATCGATTCCACTCCTATAGCTCGAGTTTGGCTAGCTGTTAGAATAACCCGCAGCGCAGTTCTTATATGGTCTCGATTACAGGATTTCTTGTCCTTGAAGTGACATTTGGGAGTGATGGAGGTGATATTGTGTACTAGCGAGGTCTGGACTGTGAGCAGCATGTGTTGAACATCGATGACTAGCTCGCTGAATACTGAGACAGCGCTGTTGCGTACTGGAGCTGGTTGTAATGAAACAGAAAGATTCGATCCGCTCCTCGACGTTTCTTTCCGTATTCACCCATTAAGTCTTTTAGTTGTTGGCAGCAAATATCGACAGTGATTGCGCACTTATCGTGAACGAGCCTCCAGGTAACGACCCACACAACTTCAGGTTGTAAGCATAACTTTTCTGCGCAATTTGTTCACCTAGAAGACTGACTCTGGCTTTCCATCGACCAAGATCCCTTGAGGAGGCTTTTGGTCGTGAATTACATGGAGCACCCACTTCACGCCCACAGAAACGATGTCTTTCCACCCTGCAACGATCGCGTCCTCTTCTGGGCAATGAGCGCGTTACACCACAGCGATCTGCAACTGCTAGCTCATGCGATATGCGCAGTGACACTTCCGCCCAGGGTCCAGTCCGATATGGGTGCTACTTTTCGAAAGTTTTACGACCCCCCTCCTTCAGGAAAAGTTTCCTACGACCCCCCCCCTTTCCGACCAATTTTTACCCCAAAAAATTACCGTCGAGCGGGGGGGGGGGGTATATACTTCCCTTAAAACCGCAAAAATCCCCTACATTTCCTTGCAATTTCCCTATGTTTTACCCATATTTCAACTGCTCCATTTTCTAGGGGGGGGGGGGGGATATATACGCGCGCTGAAACGGCAAATTTTCTCCCGCGCCGCTCCCCTCTCATCACATGCCACTTCTTACAACCGAAGCAAGTACGACCCCCCCCTACAAACTCACCAAAATACGACCCCCCCCGTTGCTACTTGTAGCAACATAGGGTTGACCCTGCTCCCACCAAGAACAGATGGCTGTGACCGCAATTTCTCTAGATCCAATCAGCTTAATTCTTTTCCATCGTGGCATAGCTTTCCGACAAAGCTATATGTTTAGTGACTAAAGTTTACTGTGAGGTTGGAAAGTTGGAATGTTGTTGTACAACGCTGACCGACAGGCTCAAGCGCCTGCATTATGGCTAGCAGAAGTTAAATGAGTGGCGCAGAACATGTAGAATTTACTCTGCGCTCCTTCGCATTACGATGTTCCCCGAAATTTTATGGAAAAGTGTTAATCTGGTCTCATTCTGGCATGATCGTAACTTCCTTCGGAGTTCATTTTTCCAATTGCAGGCCTGACCAAATATGTGTCTCTAATCCCATGGTGGAGATGTTCAAGCTGTTACTGGTGTCGGATCGGTCGTTTGTTAATCGATCAATAGATGAGATGACGTTGGGTCAGATTACCGAAGCCGTACATCTAGATGCCGGTAGTATCATACATCTGCTCGGTGGCGTTACGCTCGACAGTGAAAAGAGAATAGCAGGTTGGTTGCATAAGAGGTGGCTTTTGCAGAGCCTTTTCTGAGAGTTATAATATTTTGCGCTATTTCACCAAAGAGGCTCTCCAACCCAAAACTGCTGTTACCAAAGTTTCTTATGCCACTCACGAAATTACATTTTGAGGTGCGAAAGCGATGATGTTACCGTATGCATTGCGTCATTCAGGCCGTGGGCGAAGATTGGTTGGCTGAACAGTGGGAGCTGCGACTTGCCGATTTCCTGCTACATGTGAGTTTTCCTGTAAAATGCAATCGCGTCATCGTCACTTTCGTTTTGCGTAGACTCCCTTCACCGTCCTTAGGAAAGGTCTATCTTAAGGGTTCAGGCTGTTTTCTGTGAATAGGAAGCCGCTGTCAGAGAAAGGACAAGCACCAGTTGGGAGCGTATAGCCACTGCGCGCTGTTGATACCCAGCTGGATAGGTTCCATGCTGTGCCACTCATCTTTACGTCACCTTGTCAATGAACGCGAGCCGATCTTAACCCTACCATTAGACCACGACTTTTTGAACAGAAAACGGTACCGACGTGTTTGGGTGGTGAGTAGCACTCCTAGCAATGAATACTCATCTGTAGAAATTTGATACACGTACGTGGAATTTCGACCTGGGATTTGATTCGCAAACACGAGGTGGCGGATATATTTGTCATCACACCATCCTTCGCCCAATTAAAAAATTTCGAAATAGATATTATCAGTTTGCTTATCATTTACAAATACACATTTTACAATGTTACAAATATAGAAATGTCGAGAGTGTCCAAAGTGACCCTTTTAAGTCATTTTCTACACACACAGTACCAATCGCCTGCGCCATAACTCGCTCTGATAAAATCTTCAAGAGTCTTTCTTTCGTGTGAATTTTCCCGTGGGGTACGACGTAGCCGCTTGTTCAAATATGCACGGGTTGGGG